GGACTAGTAAAGCACTATACAAATACAGGCCATTTACCATTTACAGAGTATTTACCTCTTGGCTTTCAGTGGTTCCAGTATGACACTGAAACCATACTTGTTTGCATCTTGTACATGAAAACGTGATATCAGATTACTGAATTAAATGTAAAGTTTCTGACAACAAAACAAAGACAGGCAGACCCCGGCTGAGAACCAAAAAATGTGAACTTGGATCATGTTCAACTTTTATATGAGAAATCAACTGCGGAAAGAGGGAGAACCCAAATACAGAGAGACAGAGGCAGGGAGTAACAATAACAAAGGCTGATTACCAAACATAGACGAAACAAGAAAACCAAACCAATGAACCAATGAAAAAAACCTAAACTGGAAAGACACTAGAAAACTTGGTGCACGGAAATACATGCTCTGACCAAGGACTGAGGAAGACAGAGACGACACTGTGGGGTGAAGAGCGAAGTGGAAACACATGGGAACATGGCAGGAACAGATTAGACGTAACGAGACGGGGGAAGCAAAACTGAACACACCGAACTCAAGAGACAGTCAAAATAAAACAGAAGTACTAACACTGAAACTATGACTAAGATGTGTGGACTTGATTCAAGCAGACATGACAGAGAGACCTTGACAAAGACAGAGAAAGGAGAAGCAAAGCCTGAAACAAACACAGAGGACGCGACAGACTCTCACAGGAGACATGGGGATGACACAGAGGAACCTAACTGACAAGAGACCAGAAACACCCAAAAAGACCCCAAAAGAATGAAACCCAAGATTAACTCTGTAAAACTTGAACCAAATCATCTTCATTGTGCCAAAGAAAGATTCAAGACGTTGACACCTGAAACAAGTCAGTATGGTTTAACCCACCTACTCACGGTGCAGGAGTGCTTTTGGCTGGTCTGGGTCTCAGATCGCTGACTCTGAGCCAGCCCTTCATTTTCCTCACGTTAAGGTTATATAGTGTTGTTCACAGGAATGTCTAAAAATTCAGCGCAGCATCATCACACAGATTAAACACAGTGTGCATAGAAAATGTTATTTATTTTTGTTTACTTATTTTTTATTCTTCTGGACAAACAACATAAAGGGGACGTGGCTGCTGACCCAACTGGTTCCATGTATGGTTCTCCAAATTGCAACAGAACTACAGCTGAGATAAGAAAACTAAGCATTAGATGCAAGAATGATGTGCAACCACATTATAGAAGAGATTATACAATATTTTCTCACTGGGTACTGAAAGATGGGGAATGTCCATGACATTCAGTCCACTTTTTCACAACCCTTGCTTTACACTTAAAGCCGCCCACCCTCCTCCCTTGGTGGCGCTAGTGTGCCCTACCTTGTAATTACCTTAGAAAAGACTACACGTCTCTCAACTGCATCAATATGTGGAATTTTTTGAGATTGTGATCCCCTGTTGGTGATGGAAGGAGATTACAAGCAATAGCAGGCGGGCCATTTCTCGACCATGGGCTAGCTAGAGTATAAAGATATAAGAACAAACCAGTCAAGTGAACAACCAAATGATCTCACATAGTAACAGTTGCTATTGTAATGCAGTGTATCACCACATGGCGGCGCCTCCTGTCTCACAACTGGTGTCACCCCCTTTTTGTTCTTCTTCGCACTCCTCCTGTAATGGATGCTCCCGTGTGTACGCGGACTAGGGTGCTCTTTAGTAATGTGTGGTAGAGGTGGCACTTTTATTTATTTATTTATTTTTATTTATTTATTTTTTTCATACTTTATTTAAATTTATGCACATATTACAATCTCTCGTTGGGAGACAACATTAGTGCAACAATATGTTGAAAAGGTTGAAACCAAACGAAATAGGAGAAAACTAAAAGCAAAAAAAATAAGATGAAACCTTTTCTCCATGCTCAATCCACTTGGCTCTAGACCTTACATATGCTCCTTTAGCTTTAATCAAGTACACCTCATCTAGCTTATTTTGTAAAGATTGTAAGCGTTCTGACTCTTCCGCAGTCATACAGGGTTTACCACATAATAAATGAATTTGTTAAATTAGATTTTTCTGTTCACGTACGCGTAGGGCAGACACTTTCTTTCCCGTTTCTATAGCTAATTGTTTCACACTATATTTAAACCATTCCCATTTACTGACATTAGTCATGCTCATATAGTTAATTTCTGATTTAAGTTTTTTAACTTGTTTACAAAAGTCTTCGTTTTGTAATAAACTATTGTTAAATTTCCATATGTTGTCAGATCTTTGTTGTTTACGTAGAGATAATAAGAGACTTATCAGACAATGATCAGTAAGTGGGGTTGACTGGGTCTCACATTTCGTAACATGTGATGATACTGTTTGGGAGACAAGCCAATAATCTAATCTTGAACATACGTTTTTATTTGATGGACTAAACCAAGTATATTTCTTCGTATTTGGGTTTGTCATCCTCCAATAATCGATCATATTAGTTGTCGCACAAAAGTCACAAATAATGCTATCGTGTTCTGGTTGATTTCCTCTTTGTGGTTGTCTGTCAAGCCATGAGTTAGGAGCCAGGTTAAAATCGCCTCCAGTTATTACCTGGGTAGAACCATATGTAGTACTCCAATTTGCAATTAATTTACTTAAGTTAGACATCATATTTCTATTTAGAGACCTGTTGTTGTATCCATACACGTTAATAAGAATAATTTTCTGTTCACAGACTTCTACCAACACCATAATCCAATGCCCCATTCCGTCACTTTTATGATCAATAACTCTCCCTGCAAATTTGTTGAATAAGATCAAAGCTCCTGCTGAGTGAGTAGTACCATGTGAATAAAGAATACTATCTCCCCATTGATGTTTCCAAAATGTTTCCTCTTCCTTACCAGAATGTGTTTCTTGTAAAAACAAAATGTTTGC